CTCTCTCTCTCTCTCTCTCTCTCTCTCTCTCTCTCTCTCTCTCTCTCTCTCTCTCTCTCTCTCTCTCTCTCTCTCTCTCTCTCTCTCTCTCTCTCTTTTTACTTCTTCTCATGAATAAATTTCCAAACTATTTTAATTTTTATTTATAATAATTTATATATTAATATCTAAATATAATATAACTAAACGATAATACAAACGAGCAAATAGGTATGAAAGCACAAAATTGTTGTGATTCAAGCACAAAATTAAGATATAGAATAATTAAGAAAAACTCGAAAAATGATTTCGTGCAACATATTAGAAGCATCAAGATAAATAATCAGCTCACTTTTGTAATATATAAAAATTGTTCGAAATTTTGAATGTTTTTAAAGCCGTCGGTAAAACAAAAAATTCAAAATTAATAAAAAATTAAACAATTAATTATAGTAAAAAGAATATTTTAAGTAATGTTTTAAGTAATTTAAGATTCGACAAGATATTTTCAGCTTTGACTCACTGCTTTCTCAGTATGACGAACTTTTGTGTCACGCGGATAAAGAAATCCGGTCGACCTTCGTGAACCTGGGAGAAGGCACATTTATCTTGGCGTCATTATTAGTATCTAAAATTAATGATCGAGACGCGTTGGCTTAACGTTCAATGTACTCGTCGCGCATTATCAATTCAGCGAGACTTAATGTCAAATTATTGTCAAAAATGGGCAAAAAAAAAAGAGAACATGTTGAAGATGCAAGAGGAGAAGCGCATCGCAAGTAATGAGCTGCGTGCGATATCAACCTCGGTCGTGAACTTAAGCTTGCATAAGAACTAAAATTAATTGTGGACGACACCGAGGAGGTATTTAAAAAAAAAAAAATTTATGTCTTAATCAAGCTGTTTATCTTCTACACGACATGCAAACGTGATGATGTTGTAACGCTTCAATCGTAGAATATCGTGATCTTAATTTCGTAATCAGATTATAAGAACAACATTTCTTGATGGAACAATATTTATACTATGATTTATTGGATATCTTGTAATCATTATCTCAAAAACAGCTATATATCCAATGAACTACTTGAGCTTGTTTTCATTGCTCCAAGATTACACGTACAGTGTTGTACAACTTTACATCAATTAGAGTTAAAAGTTACAACTTTCACTGAAAGATTACTAGATTACTAGATTTTTAGATTAAATTTTTATTATGTGTAATATTCTATATTCAAACCGAATATACTGACCATGCCATATACCGAGAACATTCATATCTATGTAGTAATATCATAATTGTATATTCTCAAGACGTACTCGAAACATTCACATATCATTTATCATGTCACATATTAAAAAGCGTGATTTAATTTTCCTAGAAAAAAAAACTTGCTCTTTCCATTTCGTTTTCCATCGAACGATATGAATTTAGGCATATAATTATTTAATTAGATTAAACTTGTATGCTTTAACAGCTGAAAATATGGAAAAATTATCGTAAACTGATGCGCTTACGCGTCTCTTAGATACAGTCCTATCGTTAATTCTGTATCACGCATAGACACAATTAGATTAGGCTTACATGTTCGTACAGCCTAGGTCATGGTCATATCAATGCCTACTTCGATAGTCGTCGGCGGAGTGACGTCGTGTGGAAACAGGTGCCAGATCGATCACGAATGACGACGTAAAGATATGTAAAGGATGATGGCTCTTTCGTGACTACCGTGAAATCCGAAATCGTAGACGATAAAGAGCTCGAAACGACGATGAGATCGCTTCCAAGAAATAAAAGAATGCACATCTTGATAATTACTAAATCATCGATTTCAAGAAGATAGCAAGTATATTCTCCCGAAAAATATTTTCGTAAAATAATAATTAAATTTGAAATCAAAATAAAATATTTGATATTTTCAACTAAATCAAAACAACGAATCAAAAGAAATAATTTGTAAAATCATTGCAGAGAAAAAAAGATATTTGAAATAATTACTTTTTTCCTTCTAATGAAAATATATTATCGAGTATACTACTAATATGCAATTATAACTTAAATTAGTAAGTATTCGCAAAAAATATTATAAAATATATATGATCGATTGTAGGATGTTGGAAAAGAGTTCATTGGTATTTATTAGTTAATCTGCTCCCGCCAGACCAACAAAACACAATAAAACCGTGAATTCATATCATGCGAATTCTCGTTTACAAAGTCAACATGTCAGTGGTCAGCAGCCAGTGACCCATAAAAACGATAAATCTTCAGACTCCCCCGATAGCGATAGAAATTCGTAAGATATCGCACCACCTATCCTATCGATCAATATTCATTTAACAGCACTCATAAATATATGAAGATTAAAAAAGTCGCTCAAGAAAAATCGCTTCCAGAGAGATGTTGGACTAAGTAAGGGGAAACTGAAACACGATACTGGAGTGGTCTGTTGGAACGGCCCTAATTTAGTACCGTGAACGAATTAGTCACAACTATGTGATTATCCGTGCCACCCGTGACCGAGTCGATCTCGCCTTTATACTAAATTTTTCACGATTAGCGGAGCATCGAATCCTTTTCTTCGTTATTTATGACTACTGTAATACGATCATCACAAGAGCTTGAATTACCGCCAACTCATCATTCCCAAAGAAATAGGACCTAACTGCCCGGAATCGTATAAATTGTTAGAAAATCCAACAGAGTCGAGTTTGGCATGAGCAGAATATCGGTATATATCGGTATGGTCAATATTCCAGTGTGATATAAACGATAAAAAAGAGAAAAAAAAAACGAAAAAATCCACAAAAAAATAATAATATAAAAACAAAAATCTTTCTTTAGTCAATCGTATAAATTTTTAGAAAGAGCGGATTTGAATGCGACACAATATGCACCAAACGTGGAATTCGAGATGAGTTCGAAGAAGCGTGCGTGTACATATGCAACACGCCCACCGCTCACACTTGACAATATCCACATCGCTGTATATCGATGCACTCTGGGATACCACCTCATGTCGTTTAGCGCCGGCGCTCATTTCTCCTTGGTACGGTCACAGATGCACGCGACGAAGGATCATCGCATCAAAGGACACCGACCACTTCAGACAACGCACGATAGGCATGCCGATGTCTACGACCAGAAAAGTCTCTGGATCCTCAAAGACCTCCTCGGATGAAAGTTGCTTACAGATCGGTCACTTACAACTCTCCGTGCCCATGTAACTCTGCACTTTGCGGTTTCGTATTTCAAACGTTTTGAAAATTGATTGAAGAATGTGTTGGAATTGAAGAAAAATATTTTAGCTAATAGAGTTCGAGTTTCTCCACAACATTTACATAATCATAAAATTTATTTCATTTACAGCCAGAGACAAATAGAAATTAATAAATTTTGCAAGTGCAATAATTAGTAAGTATCAAATGTTTTCAAAGCTATCTACTTTCTCTAAAAAGAGAGTTTCAAACAATCGAAACTGATATACTACAAAATAAAAGATAAAGATCCGAATATATTATCACAAAAAGCGCTGAACTGCTCGTGAAAAGATTACAAAATATATTCAGCCGAAAATAAATTAATAAATTAATAAATTACAAAGAATGTTTCTCGTCAACTTCCACGAATCAAATAAAATAGCCGATACATGTTCATATTATCGCACAATGATACCCGACCAATCCTCATAATTTTATTGCCAGAGACACGAACCTTGCGATTTGATAATCTAAATCGTGAGAATACGTGATGATCGTTATAAATATCGATGTGACAAATTTCAAAAGCCGTACAAGCAAATTTATTATCAGACGGTTTAATAAGGATCTCTCAATAATTTTTTCCAGTTAGCGTGAAAAGAATGAGATTATTAATATATAGGTTTACGATAAAATTATACAATCTGCCTACTATTGATCAATTTTTATTAATCCCTTCAATGTTGGATCTTGAATAGTCGCATTAGTAATATTTTTTTAAATTTATTCGCAAGAAAGAGCAACTCCTTAATTTCAAAATTATGACAAAATAGAATTATTCTTTTCATAAATATGCATTTTATCCAAGGAAAGTTTTTTAATAAATAATCTTCTTTTATATCTATTCGCAAAGATATTAAAAGAATTAAAAAGACATTAAAAGGATTTTTCTAATTTAATTCTATTTTTTTTTAATTATATCTAATCCTACTTAATAATAAAAAGTAAATATTATTATGCATTCATTTAATTATTATGAGGAATGTTTTACTTACTTGCAGTTAAACTTGCCGCGGCGCTGAGCTGCGTTGGTGCTGTTGCCGGATTAACAGTTTGTCGTCTCGATGGTGTACCATATTGAGTCGTTAGGGGATCCGTCGTAGGCGATGCATAAGCCCAACTGGCGTCTACGGCGGTGACAGCAACGGTGCCCGTGGTATTCTGCTGAGAGGATGAATATGGCGGACTGTAGCCGCGAAAACTCGATCGAGCGCCAAAAGGTTGCGAAAATGCTGGTAAAGACTGATGGGATACGGTGCCTGAAGATTTGCTGCTGCCATAATCCTCAGAAATAGATAGTCCGGTACTCAGACCTGTAACTGTCCAGACGACCAAGATGTATGATATGTATTATAAGAGCAAAGGAATTCCAAAAACTAATTCTCCTTTTAACCAAAGCTTTTTCCATTAATTTAAGGACTACCTTTTCTTATCAAAATACCATAAGATGGAACTTGAAATTTATTGCATTTTTCCCATTTTTGACATTCCATATCTTTCAGGTTTCTCTTTGAATTAAATTTTATTCAGCTCTACCTTAAACTATAGTTTAATTATTTAATATAAATCGCTTTATTGAAATTATTGAAATTTTAATTATTTAGCTACTTTACAAGTCACTAATTGATAATATTTTATTTTATTAAATAATTTTTTAGAAAATATTATTTTTTTTCATAGAAAAACATTAAATCAACAATTAGGCTGTAAAATAGAAATTTTTTGTCTTTGATGTGTCTTTAGAAATTCTTCGTTTTTAAAGAAAAGAATTCCTAAGAATTCCTAAGAATTACTCGATGACTCATCCAAGGATTAAATGTAAATCTATAAGCATCAAATATGCGTTTAATGCGACAAATATTTTTCTAAATAAGCGTTACTGAATTAATCTTTTACGGTTCTCATACAATAAATCGTGATCATTGACTTTTTTGAATAATGTTATATTACAAAATAATATAACATTCGACAAGTATAATTTGAAAAATACAAAAAATAAAATAATAATATTTATAAGAAAAATAAAAGAATTTATACAAAACAACTTACATTTTATTTTATTTTTATACTAATTTTATTTTATATTAATACTAATGCAATTATATTACCTAAATAATTCTGTGTATTACGATTGTTATACGATTGTTTAATAATAATTTCGCAGCACATGGCATTTTTCGGATAGATGTTTCGAAATACATCTGGATATAATCTTAGTTAGCAAACAAGTTTTAGGTTGTTATTTCGTATATTGTATAACAAACTTGTTAAATGTATTAATTAATTAAAAAAATAGAAAAAAAATTCAAAATCTCTAATAAGATATCTGGAAGCTTGAAAATATCACTTTTTTTAGCTAAACAAATTTGTTTGACAAATTTCTCATACAGTAATGAATAGTTGAATATCGTTTTTTATCACTTATTTTATTACTAATATAATCATAATAAAAACAATTTATTCAGCGATGTATCTTGTAGCACAACCGCAAAAGGTTCCCTGCTACATATACTTATAGCTTCCCTGTTGATACATACCTTGAGCATTCCAAAGTTGAGGTGGCGATGCTAGTTCCGTAGGACTAGTCGTCATATAGGGAAGAGCATAAGTTCCTCCAGTTCCAGATGCAGTAGCCATCGCACTCACACCAGTCATTGGTCGATATAACGATGAACTGTAACAGCAGAATTTATGGCATAAAATATAGAAGAAATGACGATGCCTTCTTATCTTAATCCGAAACGTGTCGTTTTGGCAATATCGATAGAGTAAAAGAAGAAGTTTATTTAATTTGTTTACAGGCATTGCTGCCCGCAAAAAAGAAAAACGTGACATGATTGGACGCATATATAACATATTTGTATTGTTATTTTACCTGAAAAGATTTATTATAAAATCTTGGAAATATTCATATTCCATATATTTTACATGTGATTATATTGCGATATTAATGATAAAATATTAATTCGTAAAAATAATCAAATTATATAGCTATAAATATTTTTTTTCATTCGGGAAAAAATTAAATATATGTTTAATTATTAAATGCAACGTGTCTCAATCGCGTGACTCGTTTGCCTCATATTTCGCGCACAGATTACGTTTCGCGAATAAATACGCCCCTACCCATGGGATTTATAGATCACGAGGCGACGTCTATCACATAAATCGGTCATTCGAATCATTCATTTGATCGACACTCTAAAAGATCATTATTATTTTTATTGCAAATTGTCTACGTGGAGCTAGACATATTTACATTAATTGCGAATTTGTAATCATCAAAATTGTCTAATTTCAATCCAAAAATAAAAAGAGATTTTATTAAAAAGAGGTGAATAATAATATTTATCGTTTCTGCAAATGATTTCGAAGAGTGTATACTTAATCATCGTATAATTATTACGGAAGCATTATTATGGAAAAGATCACTGTTCCGTATCGGAAACAACGAAAAGTTATTGTCACCGACAACGGAAGCCGTGGGTTCAACTAAAATGCGGGCACGTGCCCAAAGAACGGAAAGGCACCCCTTCGCTCTCCCTTCGCGTCCCCTGCTGCGGATGACCCTCATCATATGAAACTCTGAAACGACATGGCTACTCCATTACCATCACTATTACCACGAGTTGTTTATACCTGGTTTCACTTGACAGCCACTCGAGCGCAGTAGGATCTACCTGACCCTGAACGAAATAGCATAACGAGCTTCCAAAGTGTATGACACAGCGAGCAAATTATGTGGCTCCAGTTAAATGAGTTTTTCGAAGCGACATTTGTCGACGAAGAATGCTGATGAAGACCTTCCAGACATCTCTAAGAAATTTCTTTCTTCGAAATTGAAAATTTCACGTGAACAGCGTGAAAATCCAAGAAGATGACGTGTACAAAATTCCTACTGACGCTAATTTATCATTCGACCATAAACTATAAATTATATTATATTGTACGTAAACATTTAAACATTAACAAGAAATCCTTTTCATTTGTAAAACGTTTGTAAAACTCACATTTTATAACACGATAATTTAAATTTGCTTTTATCCACACTATGATTATCTATCAAACATATTTACATATCAAATCGTTATCGATTGTAATTTAATCGGTTTATAAGTAAATAATCTCAGGAAGATACATTTCTCATACATTTCTCTGCATTTCTCTTTTTATTAATTATGCGCGTTTAATTATGCGCGAAAAGTCCTGCCCTCGCTGGTGCATTCGACATGCCACGCGCGCATCGCGCACGTGTACTTTATCTGCACCGCGCATTAACGTGTCCCAAACAAGGTAAAGAAGTGGTCGGCGTAAAACAAACGACCGCGCCGCTGTACGCTCGCAGTGATGTCAATACGGATGCAACCTTGGACGGTCGCGCGGTGGTCCGGGCACGTTTCTGCATACCGGTACGTGTCCAGAGACACCTTTGCGGCCGCTCTCGCGACGATGTCGACGATTCCCGAGGTGTTCCTCACGTGGTATCCTCCAAACTTCACCGTCGCTCGACAAAGAGAGAGAGATGGAAACGTCGATAAGCGCGTGCAATTTTGTCGAAAGTTAAACACGATAAAAGATCCGCGAAGCGGAATTGAATATTACAGCATTAAACGTTACAGGATACCTCTACGATACGTAGAGGGAGGATACGGAGGATAAATATGTAATACGCAAGAAATTAGTGGTAGAATAAGTAGATTTGATATTAATAATGTTAACAATATAAATTTAAATCGCAAAAAGTAGGGAAAGTTTTAGGAAAGTGCACATATTTAAATATATTTGGAGAATAGAATGCTTCTAACGGTAGGACCCGTACTTAATTTAATTTTTACAATACAAGTTCAAATTTGCCGAAAACTCATATGAACTTATGAATATTCCGTATAACATGGCATATATGTTATTATCACGTGAGTAGTTTAGACGAAAAACTGCGACTCGCGTGCAAATATGCTTGTCCAGCATATTATTCCCGATCGCTGGTAGAGTTGTGACGAATACGAAATTTGCAGGCTAACGATGAACTCGACACCTGACGTAGTCTGACCCTTCAGCAAATCTGCTTAGACGATTTATATTTACATAACGTTAAGGTAGGTTATGACACGAACCGGCCAACTGGTATCGACGAAATGAAAATATTTTCAAAGAGGCAAAAGAAGAGAAGAAATAATTATAGATGAGGAAAGAAAGACAACAAAATAATTTTACAAGTTACACCTACATATATTGTTCCTGTAATGAATGCTTTTTGGAGCATTTCCTCAAATTTTCAGATTTCGAACTAGCTGACTGATATCGAAGAATTAACTATGTGAAAAAATATAAATATAAACTTGTATGCATTTTCGATCGCAGGTAGGAGTTACGCGATGTGCCCGCGATCGTGTGCTGCATTTTACATCAGCCAATGTAAATACCAGTGAATGAGAGCCGTCTAACGGTTTCGATTGTCTTAGGATATGTCGTACGTCTGACACGAGCATAGCGGGCACGAGGATGTGTTTTAAGTGCATCGGCTAAGTGCGACGGAACGTCCGATGCATCAGGTACGAATGCATCAGGAGCAGGCCCATTCCCCCCCGTGAAACTGATTGCATCCTGAATAGCTGTGTACCAGGTGCAATCGGGTACTTTGTAAACCATTAATACGAGAGGAAACGCGTATTAGAGGCGCACGCGCTGCGTGCAATTGCACACCCGGTGCAACGATGCAACGATGCGACGATGCGCACGATCCATCCTGCTAATGCGTTTCGCAATGTAAACGAGCGATGGTGGCGAACGTGTGTATATTAGATGAAAGAAACTTTCCTTTGACAAACTATAAATAAAAGGTTATAAAAATAGCGAGAAAAAAATACACAATGCGTTCTATTCAATAAATATTGATCAAGACCTAAATCAATAAAATTACAATTCTGGGTTTTAGAAAAAAATCTCAAATAAAAAATTTCAGGTAAAAAAGAATTGTTTTAAATATTTATGTAATCTCAATTGAATATAATATTATAATGCTATATTATCATTATTATTAATAATATTATTTGAAACAATTAATGTGATATAAGATAAAAATCCTAGATGCTAAAAAAGATAAATGTAGTAAATAGTTCTATTTGTTCGTCCTATCGGGAGAGCATTTCCTATGATCTATAGTTTACCCTTGACAAATGAGGGCCCGACATTCAATGACGTAACATTAATCCCTAACAGGAATCGAGAGCGATTTTATATTCTCGATGCGCGAATGTATGCGTGCACGCATATTCTATGCGTGCGTAACGACTGCACGAGAAGCTCAATAGCAGATCTCGAGTTTCTTCTAAGAACCTCCGCCCCGCACTTTTAATTACTGCCGCCACCGCCGCCGCCACATCCCGTAATCTCGATCTCAAACTCTCTCCCAAGTACAACAATCGTGATGATTAATTAAATAATTCGTAAGGTCAAATGAAAATCAGTCAAAGAGAGAGAGAGAGAGAGAGAGAGAGAGAGAGAGAGAGAGAGTAA